CCATTAATAATCACGCTTTAATGTGAAATTTTAAAATTTTCATTAAGTTTCATTTCTAGAAATTTGTCATGGAAAATTCTAATTTATCCATTGGTTTTATTATCAAATTTTTGGATTTATTATTTTTTATCATTTTATATTAAAGCGAGATTTATCAGAAAGATTGTAATCTGATCATTTTTGTTTGTTTTCGTTAAATCACAAAGTTTTACATTTGTGAAGGATTTATAGATATAAATACCAGTGAAATATAATTCATCCTCCTCAATAAAAACAGGTGAGCTAAAGTCACTCCGTTTTGTTTAATGGTTATTCCATATAATTTTCGATTAATGGAGGTATATAATTATGCAAAATCAATTAATTTTCAATCCGATATAATTTATGGATATGATATCACTTTTTAGTTATATTATAAGAAACATTTTGAAAATAAGTAGCATAATCTGAATTAAGAGTTTTGCAAGAAATTTACATCTTCAAAAAATGCATAATTTTTGAACTAGTTTTGTGCTTTGAAATAAATTACTTGATTTTTGCATGGACTGGTTTTAATTAGATTACGCCAAAATACATGTCTGCCTAAAGGAAGGCATGTATTCATGAAGGACCTTTCTAAGAGAAACTTATTCGTGTTCACTTTACGACATCACTACAATGCACATCTAGTCAAATTGCTAGCTGGGATTTGAATTGGAATTGAGCTATCAGTGTTCATCTATCTTATCCGATCTGGAACTTTTGTACTTTATTGTTACAAGTTACTGAAGTATGATTTTGTGACTTCAGTGCATTAAATTTAAATTTGCATTCCTCTTACGTGAAACTAAACGGGAAGTGTTTTGTCATAACTTCCGAAAAGAAGGCATTAAATAGTAAAGTCATTTTAGATAGCTGTTACCAACAATAAAAAGAGGAAAGTTTTTCTCCCCGCAGGGTTCTTTCTTTTTTTTAAGTCATGTTTGATTCCCTTATAAATAATATAAAGCTTATAAATGTAAAAAAAAATGTTCTGTTGAGAAAATTTTTTAAATTTTTCTTAATTACTGACTTTATATGTTCTGAAGATCATAAAACTTTTTGATGTAATTACAGAGATTTCATCAGTGCTTGAAAAATTACATCCAATATGCGATAATATTTATCAGCAACTTTATTACAAAACATTGAAAATGTTATTTGTAAAAGCTCATCGTCAAATGGATTCAACTATAATTTTTCTTAGTTTACAAATAAAATTATAAACGCTGAAACCCTAAAGCTATTTCGTCCTCTTTTATGACTAGTCCATGTTGAATACAGCAGAATGCTCTTATACATTAATAGAATAGAGAAATTAGTACTTTTGTAGAATATATTAAAGCTTATATTATGATAGTTTTGTATTTTCTTGTACTTATAAAACATACATTTGTTTGAAAGCACACGGATTTGCCTCACAAATAAGGGGGTTATGTTAAATTATTCTCTACTGCTTCCTGTATTGCTGATGAATAAAAACAAATTTATATGACACTCCTATAGCAGAAAGGAGTATTAATCATTTGCCTTATAAATATTCAAAACTGATCTTCCTTTGCGTACATTAACTTTGAATGGATGATAAGAGTAGATTCTCGTGCTTAAGAGATAAATTCAGTTCATGTTTAAAACATTTTCGTCAAGCAGTATATTTACCTTTTCATATTTAAATTCTCAGCCAAAAACAAGATTATATAATTATTCTTTCCCAAATATATTCTTACTTAAAGATGTGTAACCCATAGATCTTAACTTTTTGTTTATTTGTTTAATTACGGAGGGAAATAAAAGTCTGGAAAAAAAGTTCTTTTTCCAAAATACACTAACTTTTGTTAAGAAAAATGCATCCATTACCGCTAACATTCAGTAATAAAAAAAAATAACTAGAAATTCATTTTACCCTTCCCAAAAGCCTCTGAAATCTAGGGAATTTAAAGAAGACATTTGTTTAGTTATTTATAACAAACACTTGAGTTATCTCCTTAGGGAAGGGAGGCCTTCTGAATGAACCTGACTTGTAAATGTATTCTTTGCACATAAGAAAGATAATAAAAGCCGTGCAGTAATATCGTTCAGCAGGCGGCAGCTAAACCTGGAACAAAATGCCAGTATTTCGAAGTTTAAGACATTTATTTATTAGTGGGTTCTAAATGAGAAAGACTTTGTATTGCTTTGAAATTTTTATAGTTTTCTTATTCACTGCATATCAGAATTTGTGCAGGGTTTTAAAAAGACAATCCTTTTTTTTTAATCTGTAAATGTTAACTTAACTGGTCTTAAAATATTTGAAACGATGATCTTCATTCCGTTTCCGACGCTTCTAGCATTCAAAAGAAGGAGCTGAATTTGTCAGAGGAAATCCTTGGGTCATTTAACAAAATATTTTTATTATATAAAAATAAAATTGACTCTGTCGAATAACTCAGTTTTTAATTCTCATGTAAAAGAAAGTAATTACGCAACTGATTAATCAATAAACGTTCTAAAGGAAAGAAATATCGTACAGAAGGGAAAGCATAAAAGTGTTATGACATTATAACTATATATTCCACTAATTTCCTTATATCAAGAGTAGTGTCCAGCAACATGAAGCACAAAAAGTAAAGAAAAATGGAAGATATTTATTTTTTCCCAACTATGCATTTGGAAATAGAGAAATATGTTGATCGAAGTGTCTTTGTGTGCAGCCAAATTTCTATCTAGTACATATATTCCTGTTACGAAGATATATAGGTAGTAGTGACAGGACTTGTATGTCTTTTGACTTGCTTCGGAAATATAACGCATCCTGAATAAGAACAGAAAGCTTGCTAAAGCTATGTTCCAGTATGTGTGGAATAGACGACACAAGCAAGAAGGGTATACTGGACCCTTTATTCGCTATTACTTTACAGGTGCTCCCGTACTTCGGGATATAGAGACCAACCACTTGTGGTCCGAACGTAAAAAATATTAAAAACTATTAATTAAAACTTCTAACTAAAAGCTAACTTTGAATTAGTATACAAATGCCTAACACCAAGACTGGCCTTTTTAAAATGTTACGTAGGTAGTGTGCAAACTGCTGAAACTACAATACGTTTATAAGTATCAAGAGGACTAAACCTCTGTCCTTAAAGGCAAGCAGCAACTAATTGAAAACTCGTAAGAATGCAGTGGCAAGGCGGCTCGCTTCCTCCCTCTCTGTCTCTCTCTAACTCTTGGCAAAAAGCCACAACTTAAATACTTGGGCGTACAATTTGCATAAACAAGTTAAAGCATTTAATTCTGGCCGGAAGCGGAAAATAATAAAGCTAGTAAAATTTTTAAATAAAATAAACGTTAGTAAAACTTAGGATCCTTAGAGTAGTTACGAAGCTATATAGGTAGATCGTAAAGAAGATATTTTTTTATGAATTTTTTTAGATAGAAATTTAGCATAGTTATTGAGTATTAGACATTTCTTGCGAAAATGCTGTTTTCGAGTTGAAGGAATACTAATTAAATGAGATTAAGATAGTATTGGATCTTCAACACGGGTTATTATTTCACAGCATAACACTCAAGTCCCAGAACTGAAGCCGATAAATTTTAGTTTCAATAAAATTTAATAATGTTTTTTTAATTTAATATATTTTAAAAACCATACATGTTTAATTTCTTAAGAATGGTATATAAATAAAATTTATATTCTCTGACTCGCATCATATGAATAACATTTTCCTTTGACTGCACACAGCAAAACACCACTGTGAAATCAATAATTTCTCATGCAGGAAACCTGCCAAATGACTGAAAGAGGTTTAGAAAAACAAAAACAAGTTCAAATTTTCTCTGCATAATTTTTACTCATGCCTTATGCTTCATATTGTTGCATGCGGACCGGTTCCTAACAAATTGAATGCACACAGGCCCGATGATAATATTTATTTTTATCAAAAGCAGTATTTCAGAGTTCAGGAATTTTTCACAGAGCTATTCGTACAAGTGTTCACAGTATCACGCAGTACAATAAGTAGTTACACTTCAAACTACTAAGAATGTTAGCTAACACGGAAATATCCCCGATCTCACTCTGAACCCAAAACTTTCAACAATAAGAACTAAGCAACTGAATCAGATGCTCTCTCTCTCCGGCTTTATGTAGTTTTCAACCGGCTGCCGAGATATTTCTAGTACTTTCTGCTTCTCGAAATTACTAGAAAGCAGTACGAGGGTGCAATTACCGTTATAGCTAACATAGTGGCCAATTACATTTATTCAATTTCAGTATATATTACGGTGATACAGGGACATAAACAAAATGTCGTCAAATGGTCGCCAAGTTTAGCAACAAAATAAGCCTAAAAAACAGTTGTTAGCTTGGCGGTATCTCGCCAAAGTACCGAGATACCTATTTACTCAATGTCAAATGCACTTGTCCTGTGTTCTTACTTTTATAACTTCTCTTTAGATTACTTACATAGCTTCTCTTTAGATTTTTCACGTTACATTACACAGAAAAATAAAAGAATTTCACTTATAATTGCACAAAAATCATCTACCCATGTACAAAATTCGTAACAATATAATATTTCATAATAAAGCTAATGTTCAAACAGAAGTCATGAGATATAGGCACCTCTAATGATGAGTCATGAGATACACGCGAAATTAAAAGTTCATCTTCCCCACCGATATATCTGATCCTTAAAACGTTTTCATAAAATAACCAAGCTACATTTTCAGTAAATGCTTGCTGTCGTAAATATAAAGCGGTACTGTGATAAAGTTTTTAACAAGGCATATATAATTTTACACGGCTTTGTATATTACTATATATATTCATTTACAGAGGTACTAACCGTGTGCTGATTTTATGAAAGGGCGTGAAGTGGTGAAGGATTATTATCGATATGAAATAAAAGTTTTGTTTCAATAATATTTATTAAATAGGGAAATTATTTTCCAATGAAAATGTGACTTCAAAAAAACTCAGTTCATTTTCTTTTTTATTTTAGTCAGTTTGGATCCAGTTTCAATTCCAGCATGTAATAGAAGTATAGCATTGACGTGGGAGCATCCACGAGATGTGCTTACGTCTCCAGGTTTTCCTAACAACTACCCCAATAACGTAGAGTGTCATTATTATATTTCCGCGCCACCAGGGCAAAGAATTGCGGCGCTTTTCACAGATTTTGTGCTTGAAGAAAGTGAAAGGTAAAGAAATAGGTTTGATTAATATATGCTAATATGCTTAATTTGTAGCGTAGCAAGAATGTTTTAGTGTGTAAAATATCTTCTTGTCTAATCTCCTAATAATAAAATCGTTTTATTTTTATGATTATTAATTTGTTTATGGAACATTTTTGCTGTAGGAATGAATTTATTCAATCAGTACTTGTATGGTGTGAGAATTCTTCTTTTATAATTGCTTATATAGATTTTATATATCATTTCAAAAATAGTTTTTTAATATTTTTATAAATAGTTTCTCTGATTTGGTTTACCTTTTCTATATCGAGAATAAAGATTTTAGAAGATACGTTTAAACATTAAATTATCAAAAACAAACGTATTATGTTAGTTAATAACTCTTTCCAATGCACGTGAATTCGAACTTTTAAGAACAAGTTTTCCGTATTATAAAAGAAAATTAAAATATTGAGAAGGAATTTCAAATGTGATTAAAAGTGGACTTGTAATCTATAGCAATATTATTTGTAACAAAATTCTGAAATTGAAAACCTGATAGACTGAGAAAATAAGTATAATGAATTAAAAATAAGGGATACTTAAGAGGCAAGTCGAAGAAATAAAATTGGAAACAAAATCTAAAAGCATATAAAACAGTAGAGTGTTAAGTTTGTAGCTATAGTTTTAGTAATTTTCATCTTTATTAAAAGAAAAAGACTGGATAAAAGTTTGTTGCATCTAATTTTCAGAAATTAAATTTTTTATATGCTTTATATCTCTATACGTATTGCCAACTAAATGTTTATACTTTTATATATGAGTTATTAGTAATGCCTCTGGTAATTAATTATCTAACCAAAACAGAATAAAATAGATAAACAACTAACTTAATTTTTTTGTATTATTATTTCGAATTATTTCTTTACCATTATAATATCCTTATATTAAAATATTTTATACCATTTTCATGAAATGCATACAAATTTTTAAGTTAACAAATCATACATTAATTTAAACAGATTCCAGTATTAAAATAAACTTCAAGAGAACTAAAGCTATGTTTCCCAAACACTGTAATAAACACTTAGGAGAATAAAGCTTATACTTCTTCAAAATTTGATGAAAAGGCAGCATTTAATATTCGGGTTTAATTGCAGTTGCAAATACGATGTGGTGACGTTAAAAGAAGAGGATGTGCGTTGGCGTCGCTGTGGTGACTGGGAGAGCAAAATCAAACTTCTTCGCCATACATCACAAAGGAATGCATTACAGCTCAGCTTCACATCCGACTTCTCTCATTCTTACAAAGGATTTCGGATTGAATTCTCGATTCTCTCAGGTGAGTGCTTTTTCATTTCCGATTTTCCTCTTTAAACTTCACTAGTAAGCGGCAGGGAAAAAAATTCATATATCTTCGTTCTCTATTGTGGCATAAGTTATGCTGTCCTCAAAAATGTCTTATTGAATAAAATTAGCATGGGTGACAAACAGACGCAATTGTTTCATTGTGTATTCTGATACTGATGAAAAATTACATATTATACACGATAGGATTTCTCCAAAGAAATAGATACCTATTTTGGTATAAAATATAAATCTTATTAAAGAGAGCGATTCTTACTGGATGAGTCAATACCTTTTCATTACTAGTTTAGTAAAGGATGTAGATATAGCAAAAATATGTCATGTATTTTAAGTAATTTAAATATATATGAATTTCATAAGAATGAATAATTAGTTTCCTTACTAAACTTAGTTTGGCTCGTCTATGTCTCACTCATCTATTTACCTAGTTCTTTCAGCATTAAATTATAAATTTTCATTGCGTGTTTATGTATAATGGTAAAAGTCTTAAAATCTTTATTTTTCATAATATCATGTATTACGCGTAACTCTTAGACGGCTATCTGATTCTCGAGGAAATGAAGGTTCTCTCACATTTTTCATAATAATAATAATAATAATAATAATAACTCCTTCACATCTCTATTGTGTTTAGTCTTCACCTAACTTCTTCCCAATGGTAAATACTCATCTCAACCAGTCACCAGATACTCATAAAGACTTCGTCAATATATATTATTTTTGCAACATTTCACTAGAAAATGTCAAGCAATTCCTCTTGATTTCAGGTATCAGCATTTTCCGCAACATTTAAAAGCATTTGCACATGATGATATCTACAAACCCAGGATTAATCCTTAATTTTGCAGTAAATGTAAAACATCTTTATACTGTTTATCGATAACTAAGTTTTTAACTTTTTTTCACCTTCCGTCAGCAGTGAGTTTGAAAGGACAACCTAAGATTCGGTTATCTTCCACTGACTATCATGCGTTAACTGTCTAAGGAAACTTCTTTTGATGTAAGCATAAGAATGGGCAAATTCCTTGTACGCAAAATTAACGCATCGATGGATACTAACTGTTGCTGTTCCTTTCTTGGTCAAAAATTCGATAGTGCGATGTCTGATGTTTTCTGCAAGGTATGCTCATCATGCTCCCTCCAGCCTAGATCTTCACAAAAACTAATCAGTGCAGACAGCTGCATGGCAGATGAACTGATAGAGAAAGATAGTGTTGTGTGTTTAGTCTGTTACGTAGTAAATTTAATTGCCTTTGATATGATCATTGACTTTTAATTTATTGCGTTATGTTGCACAGAATTTGAAAATTTTTAAACGCATAATTAGACAATGGAACAAGTATCAATAGCACAGAAGTACTTCCAGCTTTTGTTTAATTTTTAAATCAACTTCGATTCGAGAGGAAGATGAAATTGCTTATTTAAAGAACAAATAAAATATGTAATAAATTATAAATACAGAAGTATTAATTTTTATGTTACATGATCAATAATTACTTTTCGCTAAAAAAATGGAATTAGTTGTTAAATAAAATCTTATAGAATAAATTATCTCATTATTTTTAAATAAATACATACCTATTTAAAACTAGGAAATTGCGAAAGCGTTTAGATCTGAATCTTTGCTTTAGTCTCAAAACTTTAAATTCCTGAAATTTTAATATGCAACTTATTTGAATAGATAAAAAAACGAAATTGTAATCAAGCTTAAAATGTATATTACACAAAAGAAATTTTCCATAAATATAACTTTTTCTTCCGATTTATTTATTAAAATGTCTGCAATTGACAACAACATTATTCACTAAAATTTTAGGCATTGTTTCTAGTCCTCCTGATCTAAACCTATAGTCAGATCAGTTCTAATTTTATCGTGGCTTAGAGGAAAGGACTCTGCATACCGTTGATTTAGGCCTTTACCCCCTTATGGGCGAGGGTATGAATGTCAATTTTGATGGAGAATCCCCAGAGAGACGGCCAAGGGCCTCCCACCCCTCTTTTCCTACCTTTGAAATCTCGAATGGATTATCGGATAGATACTATTTTATGTGCTTCATGCCGAAATGACACTGGACATTTATTAGCAGTCATATCTCCTACGGAATTTGACCCGGCCCCATGGCTAAGATAGACGGTCCTCCTGTTAGCATGTGGAAAGCGTGGCACTAAAATTCTTGGACCGTTATGATGATTATGATAACTAGAAGATTAATATCTAGAAATAGTGTTGCACACAAATTTATATGTACTCGTATATACATAGAAAGAGAGATACTGATAGGTAGACAGACAGGTAACAGAAAAAATAATTTTGTTAGTCAGTACCTTAATTAAGATCAGTAGCATATTTCTTGAAATACAGTGTTCCCTCCCCACTTCGCGCTTCATGTTTTGCGGCTTCAGTGCTTCGCGAGTTTTTCCAAAATTTCATCAAGAAATAAAAATGAAAAAATACAACCATGTTGGCAGCCACATTGTGAAAAGGAGCGTTGTTTCATGTTGATGCGTGAGAGAGAAGGATCCCTGCATGTCAAACAAAGAGATGAGTTGACTCAGAATACATGCCAGTGCTCTCATATATAGGCCATAAATTCTAGGTGGAAGAAATTATGGCCGAACGTGGTGCACGACTATCCAGGCTTCACTCCTGAAAAAGTTCATCACTCAGGGGTGGAGAAGGCGGTGAGGCTGACTCACATCATAAGGAATGAAGGATTTGTCTACATGAAAAAAGAAGACATCAGCGCGCCCTTATCGATTGCCACTCGGATCCACTGACCGATGAAGACCTCCTTGAGATGACAAAGGCTGCAAGTGAAGAAGAAAACGAAGAGGAAAACGAAGAAGAAACTGAAAAGAGTGGCCTTACCCTGGATAATCTGCAACAATTGTGCAACATGGCAAGAGCGATGCAACAATTTGCACAAGACATTGACGAGAATATGGCTCGAGCTGTCGAGTTCATCAATCGCGTTGACGGGGTTATGTTCTTGTACAGAGGAATCTGTCATCTCAAGAAAAAACAAAAACAACAACTACCCATCACCATGTTTCTCTCCAAGGTAAAGCCCCTGGCTCTACCGTCAGCGCCTCCAACAGAAGAGTCTCCGATTGAGCCTAAAGCTTCTACCAGTCAAGTGAAAGCCTCTCCTCCACCACCAACACAAGACTTTTCGCCTCTCTCAGGAAGCAATGTTGATTAATTTTTATTACTGTATAAGGTTTTGTAATTAACCTTATTAATTAGCACTGACACGTTTCAGTAAATACGTATACTGTTGTAATTTTTGTCTTAAATGTGTGAAGTATAAATACAAATTACATATTTAAAATATTCTTGTACCCGCATACACGAAAATTCCTAGGGGCAAATTCTACTTCGCGGTTTTTCAGCTTTCGCTGAAGGTTCTGGTCCCCATTAACCGCGAAAAAAACGACAGATCACTGTACTTCATTATCTGTAAATATAGTTGATAAATGCAACTCAACTGGCTTACTTTATAAAGGAAATCAATTTGACATGTAAGAGAATATTAAGGTTTATTGTCCGAGTGGCAGTCGAAAGATCTATCCAGAGGCTGAATCCCGACGAGGGCATGGCTTGTTTTTCTTGATACCTGCTCCGAAAGTTCCTAATATCTACACAGAGTAACACTAATTACGTAATAGATGTAAATTTAGAGACTAGTTTACTGTGTACGAAACGCTTGAAATGCTGAAAGAATTAATTGAGAGAAAAACGACTATTTTTTAAATATTGAATATATATTATTTTCGTATAAATTAAACTAAAATGGTTTCTAATGCTTTCAAATAATAAGCATAATATTATAATACCAAATATTAAACATAAAGGAAAACATTAAACAAAACGCCTAAAGATAAATTTTGTCCGATTCTAAATTACACAGCAAGACTGTTTGCTATTTGTTGATTAATTTAATAATGAAATTAGAAAATGTACGTTTAACCCTTTAAAATGTTTTCTTCACTTATAGCACATGGGCATATATTTTTTCTTACTGTACCATCTAAACAAATGTATCCTAATGTGAAATATCATCTCCCTTGACAATGAAGCACGGTTGGCATCAACGATTTCCCGTCTTTTGATCAAGGAAAACACAGCACAACAACTCTTGGATATAGTTAAGAAAGCGGGAATGGCAAAGATGGCGCTTCCAGTATTGTAATGATTTACGGATGGAATTGAGACCTACAAACAATACCTTCACTGTGAACTGCGGTAGAAGATGCACATTCTCTCGGACTTTATTTTGATGCTTTTCCAACTTTCCTACTTTATCCCAGAACCCCGTCACTGTGAACAGGCAGCGATTAATGTGGTATCCAAAGAATGTCCTGCCAATAACAGCATAATTTAACGAGTTTATCGGGCTATCTGTGTATTTTTTAGACCCATATTCGTTTAATGATTGATATTAGGAGAAATCTTGGCTCATATGTTTAGTTTACATTCAAGCATTTTCACCAATAGCACTAGTAAGCATTTGAACTGTACTTATCTAGTCTTAGAACTGAAAACAACAAACAATTCGTATATTACTTACTGCCTCACAATACTGGTAGGTGTAAACATTATTTTTGTTGTTATAGCAATTACTCAGAAAGATGATACGAAGTCTGGTGAATAATTCCATGGATTTCTTGTCAGAAAATGTTGCAGTCCAAAGGTAACCTAGATGAGTCATTATGTAACTGCCTCACTTGTTTCGGATTGTTTTTATAAACAAGAAACGAAATAATAGTCATCAGGAAATAAAGTAACGCCTTCCTTGATAAATTATCTTGTATCAAGCATCTTAACAGCATCTAACTTGTAAAAAGCTGGTAAACGTATTCCTTTTGTATTAATAAACCTAAACTAAACCAAAATTAAAGCTGAATGTCTTTAAAAGACTTGAGTTCAAAGAGGTCGATTTCTTGCACGGGTAATGTGCACATTAAGCAACAAATTGCTTTTTAATCACTGGCTCATATTTTAAGAGGTGCTCATTAAATAACGTAGATAAATTTATATATGCTTGTAAAATAATAACATGCTTAATTTTTTCATTCTAGAACGATCTGAGAAAAGTGTTTTATGTGATAATGACATGTTTCAACTAAGGAATGGAAATTGTTACCTCGTTGGAAAGCTGGAAACAAGTTGGTCCACTGCTCGCCAGATTTGTACGGAAGCGAAGGCGAAGCTGGCGGTCGTGGAAAGCGCAGAACAAGAGGCTATTCTTCATGATCTGATCCGATCTTCGTATAGTTACATGTCTGGTATTATATACTGGGTAGGAGCATACGCATCAGCTGGAAATTCCACTTGGAAGTGGCTTGACGGCACGCCGCTTAATTCAAAACGTAAGTACTTTCCCTACTTTTGGATCTCAATGTGGACTTGGTTTTAATACTAATTGTGAAGTATTATAATCTATCACGAATTTAAATGTTCTTTAACTCTATGAAATAGAAACTGTTAAATTTCGCTTAAGACTAAATAAACTAAATTACGCTTTAATTCAAAAAAAATCTGTAAAATGTATTTTAAGTAAACTATTCTTGTATCTAAAATTCTTCGTAGCCGTACAATGAAATAAAGCTGTAATTGCTATATACTTGCAATAAACCTGCGATAGACGGAAGCAATATTATTTGTAGCTATCACATCTTTATATTAAATTATAACTGAATGTAATAAATAATGTCATAGGACTATTAAAATAATTTAAATTTTTGTGTAAATACCTATAAACAAACTTTATAAAATCTATCAATCTAATTTAAATCGCTTCAGAATATGCCCATCGCTCAACAGGTTACCCCGCCAAAGAATGTCAGTAGTCTGCTGTTGAATAATGCATTGTTCATCTTAATAATATAGTTTGAGCTTAATGTACACTGTGAAAAAAAACTGGGACAGTTCTATATCTCCCCGTTCTACCTAGCCGATTGACAAAATTCAACTTGAATTTTTATGTCTCGAAAACACGACTTAGAATGTGTATTAGATTTATATATAGAATTGTCCTAATATAGGTATTTTGACACAAAATCGTACTTTTTATGAAATGACATGCTAACGTTTTTTCCACATTGCGATTCTACGACTCAAATTACGCCAAATTGCCAAGTTTTGTAAATATCGCAGGAGTAGTTTTTAAAAAATTAGCTCTCAAAATTTTAGCTCGTCAATATTAATTGAGTTTTGTATATATTTATCAATATCTCTTTTTTTATTAAACTTATTATATTATTATCCTTTCATATTTCTAAACTTAGGTTTATTCCAAATAAAATTCGTCCATTTTTTGATTCATTTTTTAAATAATTTTTATAAATTTTTCGAAAAACATTTTGAATTATAATATATACAATTTTTATAATCATTTTAAAGTAGATGTATTTGTAAGCATACTTGCAAACGAGTTACAGTTTTTTATTCAAAATTTCCGAACATATACGTGATTTTATGTATTGGCGCGTTTTGAAATTTGGCATATTTGTTAAAAGCGAAAATAACAGCAAATATGGCTTAAACACTTTGTTAAAATTATTTGGATGTAGGAATGATGACTTTTTTTCAGCTCATGCACAATGGAAGGGAAAGGAAAATAATTTGCCATATATTAAGAAGTTCGTTAAGTGAATTATTCTTGGCGCAAACTGAAAAAATTCGCCAAGGTAACTTTTTGAATTTCTCCGTAAATTTCGCATCAAATTCTACAAAATTTAATACTTAGGCATAATTTGAGTCGTAGAATCGATATATGGAAAAAAATTGGGATGTTGTTTTAGAAAAAGTCCGATTTTGTGTCAAAGTACCTATGTTAGAACAATGCTATATATAAATCTAATATATATACAAAGTCGCGCTTTCGAGACATGAAAAACGAAATTTGTATTTCGTCAACCGGCACAGTAGAAGGGGAGATATAGAACTGTCCCCTTTTTTTTTCGCAGTGTACACTTGTTTCGCATATTAAGCGTTTAATACAGGGGAGATGCATGACAACTTTAAATCTGACGATCGATTAAATTCTGATTTATAACTGATTTCGATCGCATTTCAAAATACAAAAGATGTGGTTTCTTTCTTAAAGAGCAAAGTCATTTGCAGAACACTTACGAGAGTTTTAATTAATGTTTACAAGTATTTCTGTGATATGAGCATTTTTTTGAAGTTTTAATGCTTTTTTCCCTGCTTTCATATAATACGAACGATGATATAACGTATTAAGTTTGTAAGGATCTTAAGTTTTACTAACGTTTATTTTATTTTAAATCTTTACTATCACTTCTTATTTTCTACTTCCGGCCAGAATTATAAGCGTGAAGGAGTTTATGCAAAGTTGTCTGGCGAACGCCAAGTATTTAAGTGTGGCCTTTTTGCCAAGCAGAAGAGAGGAAGCAGTGAGTTCGAAGCAGGCCGCTTACCTTAGAAGTTACGCAGTTGCTACTTTGCCTTCCAGGCCAGAGGTTTTAATCCTCTTGATAAATTAAACGTATTGTAGTGTTCACAGTCTCTGTGCTACATACGCTTCCTGTTATTATAAGGCCAATCTTCCACGTTCTAAAGTTAAATTAGAGTTTAGTTTTATTTTTGATATCTTTTACGTTAGACCCCGAGTGGAGGGGTCATTGTATTCCGAAGTACGGAAGTCATTGTATATAAGAGAAAAAATAAAGGGTTTTGTATACCCTTCGTCTGTATCCTGTCTACTTACTACAATTAGTGAACATAGCTTTAGTAAGCTCTCTGTTCCGAGTCAGGTCCTTGTATGTTTCCGAAGAAGGTTAGAAGGAAACATTGAACCTGATAGTGGCGCCCGAACGAAGAATAACCATGGCCGAGTTTCAAGAAGAACCTGTGCTGCCTGCAGAAACGGCTCAGAATCCAGAAATGCCAGCTGCCGCCCTGGAAGGATTTGGGTTACATCGTCCAGACCATGCGCGCTTCGATGAAACCAGAAGCAACGTTTTAATGGAAACTCACCGGTAACCAGTTTTTTGGAAAAATTGGATGACCACTTCATGCTCTACCCCGTGCACGAGTTTCAAAAAGTTACCTTAGCTACCAGCGCTTTGAGGGGCCAAGCGCTTAACTGGTTCAAATGTATCGGCAGAAGTCTCTTGGGTCAAGCAGGAAGTCCCACCTATACTTACGAAAATTTCAAGACTGCCCTACTAAAAGCCTTCCCTGTTGTAAGGGATCGTGCGAAATTAGAAACGGAACTTTTCAGTATATATCAACAAAGAATCGAAAACCTCTCGAGCTTTATTTTAAGAAAAATTCACGTTTTCAAGCTCTTGTATGGAAACCGTCCGGATCCTGAAATAATTCAAGTGATTTTGCCGAGGTTACTACCCCAAGTGCAAGACTTTATTGAATTAAGAAATCCGACTACACTGGAAAAATTATTTGAGCTAGCAATCCAGTTTGAAAGTAGAAGAACGGCGGACGTCGAAAGAAGACGCCAATATCAACAGCGAAACCAATTTGGTACGCCAAGACTACAGCAAACTCAAGCACATGGCTACGGAGAAAAAGCGAATCAGTGGGCAAGGAAACCCGAGCATTCAAAAACAGCCGGCGAACGTCGACAGTTCAATAGCAACCCAGGAAAAAAGTCTCAAGGCCAGTGGAAAAAGAAGGAAAGCACGGAAAGAAAAATAATTTAAACTAAAACGGATTTCTGCGGACGAGAGGGTGCGGAAATCCGAAGGCCACGAAAACCCCTCTTCCTAAAAGTTAAATACAGTAATGGTGAAAAATTTAACTCTTCCGAAGATTGAAGCCTTGGTGAATAATATCCCGGCCACCGCACTCCTGGATACCGGCGCGCAGTGTTCCTGTGTGGCAGAAGTCTTTTTTAGAAAGTATTTTCGCAAATACCGCATATATATATGCGGATAATACGACAGTATTAGCGGCGCAAGGAGAACAATGTAAGTGCGTAGGTAAAGTACCTTTGTATATCCGTATCAAGGACGAACAAGTAAAGGTGATGTTTTTTTTATAGTAAAGAATCTGCAAGCACATTTAATCTTAGGAATAGACTTTCTTTCAGACGCACAAGCTACACTGGATTTTAATGAAGCGTCCCTTAAGCTGACGAATGAAACCAGTGCGTGTAGAAAAGGTTGAACCGCCGAAGGTTAAATCTTGACCACCTGCCTAATGACGAGCAAGATAGAATCCGACAAGTGGTAAGTGAATTTGCTTCGTTATTTAGTGATATTCCAGGATTTACTCAGGTTACTAACCATAGTATTGACACCGGAGATGCATTGCCAGTTCGTCAAAAACCATACCGGTATGATAAGAATAAGGAAAAAATTATAGAATGGCATATTACCGATATGCTACGTAAAAAGATCATAACGCCCATCTCAAGTAGTTATGCTAGCCCGGTGGTTTTATGTAAGAAAAATAATGATTATCCTTTGGAGCATCCAAAAAGGTGGAGATTCGCTATTGATTACCGTAAATTAAATTCCATAACGAAATATCCGGTATATCCGTTACCGATTATAGAAGAAATTTTAAGGAACATAAAATCAACCAAATTTATGACGACTTTAGACTTAACGACTGGTTATTTTCAAATAGGGGTTAGGCCTGAGGACGTGCCTAAGACTGCTTTTATAACCAAGTCTGGCACTTATGCATTTTTGCGTATGCCGTTTGGCCTTTCAGGGGCCCAGGCAACATTTCAGCGATGCATGGACATTGTGTTAAGACCTGTTCTTGGAAAGTCCACATTTATCTATTTAGACGATATCATTATTACTAGTGATAATCTCGACCAACATGTACAGGATTTAAGACAGGTGTTTTCTTTATTAAATGAGGCCGGTCTAAAAGTTAATGTCGAAAAGTGCAAATTTGCAGCCCCTGAATTAAAATATTTAGGTTACAAAATATCTCAAAAAGGGATCGAGACAGATGAATCAAAAATAATCGCTGTACAAAAGTATCCGACTCCAAACACGGCAAAGAAGCTCTCTTCTTTTCTAGGACTTTGTTCATATTATAGGTCCTTTATAAAAGATTTTGCGGCTATCGCTGAGCCATTGTTAAAATTAAAAAGGAAAAAGGCAAGATTCTCGTGGACGGCCGAAGCCAATAGTGCTTTCGAAAAATTAAAACAAGCATTAACGCAAGCCCCTGTGTTGAAATTTCCTGAAAAGGATGAAAATTTAGAAATTTCAGCGGATGCTTCGGATTATGCGGTAGGAGCGGTACTTTCGCAAAATCAGCAGCCCGTGGCATTTTTTAGCCGAACTTTAAATCAAACACAAAGAAACTATTCCGCGACCGAGAGAGAGGCACTTGCAGTTCTGTTAGCAGTGCAAAAGTT